GGTTTTCCTGAAAGCGATGGAAGTTTTTCAATACAACCATATCTTTGAAAATACACAAGAACCCGACTTATAGAAGACCTGCTAACACCTAAGTGTTTTGCAATTTTTCGAGTTCTAAATTTTTTTCAAGAATGTGGTTTGAAAATATCATATTTTTTTGAATTCAACAAGAGATGTGCATAATTTTTTATTTTTTAATTTATATTAGCCACCTGATTTTAAATTACGTATATATTACAGTATTATATCAAATTTTATTGAATTTATTATGCTGAAAAAATTACCGGCCGAAAATTTTTTTCGGCTAATTTTTTATAGGTGTCCCAGGAATAATGAAAACAGCTGTAAAAAAAGAAGTTGCGGCCGAATTTTTTTAACTTTTAATGAATATTTCTTGGCAACCTGCTATTCAAATTCGATCAATTTTTTTATTTTATGAGCCCACAGAATCAAAATAAAAAAACTTCATGAAGAGTTGGTTTTTGAAAATCTTTGCTTAAAGTTTAAATTTACTTGATTGTTTCGATATTTAAGTTTTTTTTAAAAAACTTTTACGATGATCTCTCGATATCTATTAAACCAAATTCAATAGCTTTTTATTTTAATTCTACAAAGTCAAGTAACTATTGAGAAATTATCGGCAGAAGTTTTAAAACTTTCGAATTTATTATTAGGATCTGCGCCACAGCACAGGATCTGATAACCTGGCACAAAATTTATACGTGCATCTTGGGCATATCGGCCGACTATTAACTTATGCTGGCGCGAAAATAAACCTCTACCTAAACCAATGTAATGCTTAACAACTAATACTGTAATATATCACATAATCTACTAATCTATGCACTACGTATACATATACTTGCTGGTATATTATCTATAACTACAATGATATTGAACTTGGACAAATTCAAACTATATATGTAATAATTTGGGATTTGGGCATCCAAAAATTTGAAGTATTATAATGTACAAAATATAAAAAATTTTTTTAGTATCTACTATTTTGAAAACAGTAACAAGTTCCGTTTCCGCCTTTTTGCTTTATGAAATATATTGACTTGAAACCTTATCTCCTCAGTTGGTCCAAAAATTTTAATAACTATCGCAATTTTTATGAAACTCTGAGTTAGCCACACAGCCATGACTACAATAGTTTTTCATATGATAATTATTTACGTCATCTATGCTTGCGTAATGTATTCGTAATACTGCGGCTGCGGAACTTGCGTGCTATAATTTAAAGATGCAACGCTGTAATAATTTAATATTAATACTGTAAGGTAACCTTTATCAGATCTTCCTTTTTTCATAATACAATTGACACTAACGATATGTCGGTATTATCCTTAATCTTCTAGAATTTCTTTTGTTTGTCAAAAAATCACTTTTCAACCTTAAATAGTACATATGCGAAGTGAAACTCCGAATAACAATATAAAAGAGTAATGATTGTAGCACAGCCCAACTATATTTCGGATAAATTTGTTCCCGACGCTATTAAACAAAATATTATAAAAGGCAGACCTTGAAAAGCCCCTTACAACTCATTAAAAAAAAACTTCCAGAAATATCGGAAGCAACCTCTTTTACCTTTTTTTTTTTTTTTCTTTTTTTTGAACGAGCAGATATATTGATATCGATATGGCAACTATCAAAGTTGTTTATAAGTCAGTCTCTCGTCGGTTTACTATAGAAACTGACACTACTTGGTCAAACTTAGAATCTCAGTTTAGATCTCTTTTCCAAATTCCGTCTCATGCTCAGTTGAGTGCTACTTATATTGATGAAGACGGCGATAATGTAGCACTTTCAAGTGATTTAGAACTTGCTGAGGTTCTCACTCAATGTTCGGCTGGTACCGCTATTAAAATCGTTTTGAAAACTAAATTGACTGTTGACGAAACTGCCGCTGCATTGGAACAAATAAGTCTCGAAGATGAAGAATCCTACGAAACTATCTTATATTCCCAATCTGAGCCTGAAGAGACTGAAGGACAAGGAACCTGTAAAGAAACATGTGGAGAAATTTGCGAAGATGTTATTTATTCAGCAGATGAAGTTCATGAACAAGGGCATATTGATTATAGTAGCTCTGACCCCGAAATTTACTTCTTTGTCTCTCGTAAACGTTCTCATCGTGAACCACGACGAATTTATGCAGGGTCCGCTAAACTTGAATCTTTTGGTGGACAAAATGCATGTCCTTTTGCGGAACGTTTTCGTGGTCCTCATGGTAGTGGTAGAGGTCATGCACGTATGCATAGAATGCATAAACATGGTGAACCAGGTCATCATCATCGTGGCCATCGATTTCGTGGTCATAGACATCCTTATAAGATGTGTAAACGTGACGGAGGACATGAAAATGAAAAAATGGAGGACAAACCCGATAAAGGCCCTGAAATGAATGAATCAGGCCCTAGTACTAGAGAAGATCATCATCATGGTCACCATATGCATCATAGAAAAGGTGATAAAAAAGCGAAATTTCATTCTAGTGGTGACGAGAGACCTAGACATCATTGTGCACGTGTTCATGCACATCCATATTTCCATCATAAGCACGGACATGGACATCATGGACGTCACGGTGATCATGGAGAAATTCCTCCTGAGAAAGTAGCAGAAAAATTAGAAATTTTGAATGGCTTGTCTTTTCCGGCTGAAAACAATTCTCATTATGAAGAGCTTTTGAAAAGATATCATGGAAGAATCGGTCAAGTTGTTGAAGCAGTTATTAGGGAACAAAGGGAGAAAGAACCTAAAGAGCCCAAGGAACCGGAAGACAATGATCCAGAAGGTGATGAAGGTCAAGCGTCGACCTCCCAACCCATGCAGAGTTAATTAACGAAACGGAATTTTCCAATTTGTTCGATTCATTGGATTTTTTTTTTTTTCTTTATCGTAGTTTATTATTTTTAATATGCCGCAATATATACATATATACTGTTTACCATTGGTAAATTAGCTGCGATAAACACAGTCCCTGTTATTTTTATTATATTTTATTTCCATAATAAAATAAATTTTTAAAATCCATAAAAAAAAACATATTTAACACGTGACCTTAGTGTTCCAATCATCAGATATCAGATCATGCTTTATATATTTCTGTATTTAAGGGTAAAATATTTTTTTTTGAATAAATAAGGTTTAAAAGAACCTACCTATAGAATTTTACAATGATCGTTACAAGGACCCTGAAAGGATTTCATTTCGTCACAGATCATTCGTAAATTCTTTTTCTTTTATTAGCTTTCAGATGGCTTATTGGACTTTATTTCTGTTCTTTATATGTATTTGGTAGTTTCATAAATATTTCTTAGTATATATATTATCATCATTAAATAAATAAATAAATGAATAAAAATAGGTTTAAAACCTAATAAACAAATGCGTGTGTTTCCTTGTTTCTTTTCGTATAATTTAAACGTATCTTTTTTGTTAAGATCCAACTTGATCTTCAATATAAATGGATCACATGATTTAATTTAGCTAACAAGTATAAACAAATAAAATCAGGAACTAATATAATGCACGTATGTAGTAATGATACAAATTTGCATAATTAATATAATTAATATAATTGGATGAAAATAAATCGATAAATAGAACAGCACGACATTTTATTTTAAAACTGTATTAAGTTTGTTTATGTTTATAATTGTATAATAGATGTTTTAGTTAGTACATTAACACAAATCCAAAATTAGTAACGCTAACATATTACGAAGTCTTCCCTTATTGTTTTCTATTGGTTGGTATCAGAAATTAGATACCTTAGCTGTCACAAATAATTATGATAATGGTCATCAGATGCGGAAAGCTTCTCCTTGTTTCACTGTAAAGATTCACAATTTAATTTCCTTTATTTGGAACCGATACGTGAAAAAAAAATCTACAAAAATAAAAGTATATTTCTTATCCGTTTTTTATCCTTTCATCCGTTTTTTTTATTTTTTTTTGTAATGTACTCATTCTTTTATTACATGACTTAATTTTGTGTTAACTCATAAAATTCGTGTTAATAACTCTTAGTGTGAAAATTTAGTACTTGCTTGCCTCTGTAAACATATTAAGTAGCAAATTCACTATAACAATGGACTCACAAAATTTATCGGACGATTTTGGTTTACCATACAGTACTAATCTTGCCACAGAATCATATAACACTGCTTCGCTACGAACTGCAAGAAGGCATGTCATTGCACACACTGATAACTTTTCTTTCCCGGGAACAATAACAAATCATGAGATAAATCCATTATCATCTGTACTGTCACATTATACAACTAATGAGCGTGTATATAATATGACAAGGAAAACTTCTAACTCAAGTATTGCAAGCACTTTTACAAATGAAGTTTCTACTCTTAATAGTGACACTCCTTTGATTGATTCCTCTAATTCCAACCCTGATAATAAAAATGCTGTACATGATAATTCTCCTTTACTATCTCCATCACGTTCTACACGTCAATTTACTCACATTCATAAAAAGAGATTATCGAGAACTATGCAACATATTTCCTCTTTTATAAGAATAACCGTAAATATTTCTCCAACTATTTCATTTCCTGTTACTATTGAAAAATCATATACGATAGAAAGGTTGGCTAGGCAAATCGAGGCTGAATATGCTTTTAAATATGGTGATATTGAAGGTTGTCTTCATGAACCTCTTGAAGTAGGTTTACTTTATGATGTTAGTATGGTTGCGTTGCGATTTCGCGATCTCGTAGGTGACGTTTTAGAGCATGGTGATGTTGTTAATGTACTTAATATTTATGAAGGTATGCATATACTTTTTTTATTTTTACAAGATCTTAATTTTTTATATTTTTTTTATAATTACTAATTTAGTTTTATTAATAGATTGTAATGATCTCGAATATGCTGAAGTTTTTGATTTTGAATTTCAAGATTTTAATCTTGATAAAAATTTTGTGCTAAGTGGCAATAAGGAAAATCGCAGTTTCAGCTTGCCAATTACTAACGATGATATTTCACAGATAAATGATAATAACCCCATTCCTTTAAATCAAACTATACATCCATCTATTTCTCCTGTATCTGATCCTTATCTTTCATTAAATCTAGTGCCTTCTACCTCACAAAGCTCTCAATCTAATTTTAGTTCTATCCTTACAAATATTCTTGCTCTAAATTATTTTCAAAAATTCACCATTCGAGAATTTTCTGTTGAAAATTTGTTATTTTGGCTTGATATTGAACTTTTTGCTGCTGGAACTTGTGATATAGAAGATAATTATTTTGAAGATCAACAAACTGCTATCATTCATGCAAGATATATCTATTTAACTTATATAAGTTCAAATTCTCCTTTACAAGTTAACCTTAGTGATGAGATAAGAAAAGATATCACTTGGCCATTGGATGATGATTGTATAATAGAAAGAAATATGTTTGATGAAGCGCAAGAGGCTGTTTATCAATTAATGAAAGGTCATTCTTTTACGCGATTTGAAACAAGTCCTGAATGGGAGGAATGTGAAAAAATAAAGGCGGATAGTAAGTATTTTTAAAATAAATATATATAATAATTATATATATGTACACGGATTAAATAATTTTTTGATCACATTTATTAAATTTTAGACCCTAAAGAATATGAAGATCGTGAAATGATTGAACCACTTGATCGTTATTTCCGTCCGAATATGTCATTAATGCTTGCTATCACCATGGGGCTTGATGATAATTGTAATCCTGCTCCAACTTCTCATCATTACAAAGAGCAAACTTTACATTCTATTCTTTCTCAATATTTTCCTGAGACTATTCTCCTTGATAACAATGGAAAAAGAAAACAAGATAATATTGTAAATGTGCGATCGAATGAAGGTGTATCTTTGAATGGTTATTTTAATAATGAAAATAGAATGACCAATGCTCAAAAAATGAGAAAAATCAAAAAAGAGCGAAAACTTCGGTGGGTATTTGGTGAAAAGATTGGAAGAATTAAGGACCAACCTGTAAATTTACCTGGTGGATTTCGATATGGTGACGGAAAGTTAAGATTTGACGATGATGATGATGATGCAATTAGCTTGTTTTCTAATGAATCAGAAAGTAAAAAATTGGCTAAAGATATATGGAATAAGAAGAAGAAGAAAGATAAATTGGAATCTATATTCGGTCGTGGGTTAAAAGATCGAAATAGTTTCAAAGATTCGCTACCAAGATCACCTGATAACACATCTACACCTAAAAATAATGCTCGTGATAATATCCATTCATTCACATTAAATGTGTTAAGTCCGAATGATCGAAGAAGAATGATTAAAAGTAACAAAAAATTACAAGTAATGCTTGGTGAAGCTTTGGATGAAAACATGATTCGTCAAAATATAACTATTCCGGCTGCACAATTACCGTGTTTATCCTACAATAAAAGTAAATTTAATAACGAAATCGGCGTATCAAATAAAACTCACCATGTTCGTAGAGCCTCTGATTCAATGATTATATCACCACTGCCTTCACCAAACAGTATTATAACTCCACCAGCGACCCCTCCCACTTTATCAGATGAAAACGATGAAAAAAATAGCCTAAAACATCAATCTATGAATTCTGCAACTGCATTCACAAATACCAGACATTCATTAACTTTTGCCAATAGAGACACTAAAGAATATCGAAGAAAAAAATTACAAAAACTTAATAATTTTCTGGGTGAATGTGTTCCTATTGACATTGTATTGGGTGAAAGTGATAGTTATAGGACTTCACTTCCGGAACCATTACCGAATCCACCTAAACGAAAATCTAGGGGAAGGCCAAATTCTTTATCGTTTAGCTCGAAAAAGAATACGTCAACAAACTCGAATGATAATACTGATGCTCAAACATCATCAAACATTCCAAGGTTATCTGCGATAGATAGAAGACGTCATCTTCACAGAGCAATAAAATTAGAAAAAATGTTTGGAGAAGCTCCTCCTCAGGATCTTATAGTTCAAAAGCTACGTTCCAGAAACCTTACCGATTCAGTATCTTCCATTGACATTCATCGTAGGAGCATAATGTCTCTGGAGTATTTAATGGAAAATGATAGAGAGGCTATGTATGATCTCATTGATTACATAGCAGATAGTGATGGTGAAAATGTCAATGATGATGAATATGAGGAACAATTTGCTGTACCATTATCAGCTCCTGCAACTCCTCATCCTGGTAATTCATTGAAATTTGATTTACCTCCAGCAGATCAGAAACAACAAAAATTGAAGGGAATCCGTAAATTATCTCACTTCTTTGGAGCAACCTATGGACAAATGTTCCCTGATCAAGTTCTTGGAGAATTATTAGGAGACCTTGAAAGAGAAATTAGAGAAGAGGCACGACAAAATGAAGTTGATAAAGCTGTTGTTGCAGGATTAATGGGTCAATTAGAAGAATTAAGAGCAAAAAGTGGAGAGTTAGGACCAAATTCAGATGATGATGAAAATGCTATTGAAGAAGAATTATCTTTGACAGATAATGAAACAGATGAGATACGTAAGAGATTAGAACTAAATCGTAAAAAGAGAGATCTTAAACCAGAAAGTGTAATTTAAAAAAAAAAAAAAACTATTTTTGTCGATGTACATATATTTGTTGATTTTTATTTCAATTACTTATATTGCTTTGACACATCTATATGTATTTTTCTATATTTTTTTCACGTGTATTTATAATCATTTTTGTGTAACATTTACTATTATTATAACCGTGATAACCATTAAACAAAAAAAAAAAAACTTTGTCAAATTTTATGTGCTAAATAGTATATATATATTTATGAAATTATTTTAATTGTTAATTCGACATATTTATAGTATAATAACGTTAATAATTAATGTTTATCTGTTTTTTATAACTGTTTTATTTAGTAAAGGAATTTTTTAATTATATATTACCGAATAATCGCAAACACAGCGTTGTAATAAGAATTTTTCGGACTAATGAGAAGGAATTGCTTATATTCAGTTTAATTTATTAGTAAATCATATATTTTTTACAAATTTTGAAATAAGAGGGATGCTTTTAATTAGTACGTAATATTGTTTTTCTGTTAATTTATTTTTTTTACGTATTAAAGAATTAACAGGAGGATCCCCAAATTCCGGGTCGAAATACATCGGGCCATGAAAATCCTTTTAAAATTTAAAACTTTAAGCCCTTATTTCTCGATGAATACTTACGAATTTTTTTTATTTTAATTCTATAAGTTAGTAGGATTTAAATAAAAATTTTATCGAATTTAGTCAGATAGTCGTTGAGAAATTTCGCTTAAAGTTTGAAAAAAAAGGTTAAAAATCAAAATGTCGTAGTAAAATTTATTTTTTTCAACTTTAAGCGAAAATTTCTCAACGATTATCTAACCAAATTTGATGAAAATTTTTTATTTTAATTCTACGCGTTGTAGAAACAAATAAAGAACCTATCAAACTTTGGTTATGTAGTTGCTGATTATTTATTTATTTGTTTAAAAAAATTTGCCGCAGGTTCTTTTTTATTGGTACTAAGACTTTAAGCGAAGTTTTCTCAATGAATATGTAACTAAATTCTATGAAATTTTTTTTAATTTTGCAATCCCATATAATTAAATTAAAAAAATTTTCATCGAATTTGGTAAGAAAACTTCGCTTAAAGTTTTATTGCCTATAAAAAAGAAACCTTAGCAAATTTTTTTTTTTAACTTTTCTCAGTGACTACATAACAAAATTCGATAAATTTATTTTTATTTTGATTCTACAAACACGTAGAATTAAAATAAAAAATTATATCAAATTTGGTTAGATAATCATTGGAAATCTTCGCTTTGAAGTTGAAAAAAAGAAATTTTGCTATAGTTTTTTGTTTTTTTCAAGACTTTTGACTTTTTTTCAAACTTTAGTAAAGTTTTTTCAATGACTATCTAAATTTGATAAAAAATTTTTATTTTAATAGGTGAATAAAAAATATATATATAATAATAATTATTTTTTTTTATAATTCAACAATCTTGCCAATACTTTATTAGGTTAACATATAGAAAAAATATAATTTTACCTAAAGCCTATCTAAATTACAAACATTAGCTAACCTGACTTTTTACAATACCAAAATATCTAAATTACCCATGTTTGATCTGTTATAGTAAAGTTTATCTTCATATCAAAAAACCCTGCAAATAGATACTTTGATATATTACTGAATAGTATTTATAGCCTATCAAAATCATCTTTTTTTAACTTTCTTCTAGCTTTCTGAGCAAAAAAAATTATAATCTCCAACTAACTTATGAAAAAAAATACTGTATTCCTCCGAAAATAAGCACCCCTTTTTTGCTATAAGGTTGCTTATTTTCGGGTATAATCTCAATTAATAATTTAAATGATTTGATATTTAGTTACTTATTTCTATTATATAAGAGGTGCTTATTTTCGGGTATATATAAATTGTAGGGGGTGCTTACTTTCGGGGGGTGCTTATTTTTGGAGGAATACGGTACTAAAAAAATAAAGAAAACAAAACAAAGAGAGAAAAGAAAAAATTGCCTAAGCAACAAGAAAACAAGTAATAAAAAAATAAATAAATAAAGAAAAAAAAAATAGAAAAAAACCAGTTTATGAAAACACTATTATAGCTTGTACTAGGCATAGTTGTAAAAATTATATATTAAATTTAAAAATCTTGTATATCTTTATTATAAAGCTACTGTATATTTCTAAAAATAAGCTATCTTTTTTGAGCAAAAAATTATATGAAAATTTCCAAAGCAGCTTATTTTTGGGTTATATAAATTTTTAGTTATTTTTATTAAAAAAAGTAGTTTCTATATATAAAAATCAAAATTGTACTAAGTAAATCTAATGTTTGTTATTTAATAAAAGTTATTCAAAATATAAATATATATATATTTTAAAAGTTTTATACAGACACTTTCAATAATCTAGCTGATCATCTTGCTAATAATCATATATCTTCTCCAACTCTATTGTTTAATTATTCTAATATATATAACTTTTCTTTTTTTCTTCAATAGAAAAATTTCTCAATTGATAGGCCTTCTAGACACTTCATTAAAAATATCTATAATGCTAATACTATTTCTATATAGTTCTTCCAAAAATGTACTGATGAATGATTACACTTCTAATTTTATCAATTGAAATTCTACATGGCTCTACTTTAACAATAATTCATAAACATTTATATAATTTCACTAATCCTAAACTTAGTCATCTTAAATTTTTTAAAATTAAAATGTTACTTAATAATTTATCTAAACACTTTTATTTTTATTCCATATCATCTAACCTATTCTCATCTTCTAACTGTTTTCAATACAATCATTCTGATTCTTCTTCTCACTAGTACTCCTGTTCCTACTATAATCTCTTATCTTAAATTATTAATTCTTCTATTTTAGAAATTATTTTAAATGCCAACCTTAATTTTGCTTCTCATGAACTTAATTACTTAATATATACAATTTTATTCTACCTTTCTATTTCTTTTTATTTTTTTACTCTTTATTTATACTTCTTTTATTCTACTCTTAAAGGTCTTATTCCTTCTCTACTTGTCCAATATATATTACTATTTGATATATCTTATTTAATAGCTTACAGCTAATTATCAAAATTCTTATTAAAATTTCTAATCAAATCTATGAACAAATATGAAAATCATACTGTATTAACTTTCTACTTGGAAAAAAGTATATCAAATATTATCAAATTCTATCTCTACTCAAGTTAGCTAATGATTTTCTACTTGTTTCTATACTAGAACTCGTAACACTTTCATATATAACTGTCTATACAACTTATCTAATCAACTATATTCTAATTCTTTTTCTTGCCCTCCAGCTGGGCTCACTAAGCATAAATTTAATATCTAGTTCACTTTATAGATTCAGTTTAGTATTCTTACAAATCATATATTAACTATTCAAATCTAGATAAGTCTTGACCACACTAGTAGATTTAGATCGCAAATAAATAATTAGTTTGAGCTTTTAATCTTGCATGTAATTTATATTTATTTATTATTAAGTCTTCATTTAGTTTTGTTTCTTTATAATTACTCATATAAATTACTCAATAAAGATATAAGCAAGGCCTTACCTTTTAATATTAAAAAAAATAAAAAGTTTTATATAATTTGAATAATTTTTTATTAGTCTAGTTTTGTATTTTAAATTTGAACTTAAAATATAAAAATATTTTAATAAAAAGTTATCCAAATTGTATAAAACTTTTATAATATATATAATTTTATATTCTAAACAACTATCAACTCTTCTTGATATTCACTTAAACCAAATTTTCAATAAAAAGAAAAGCCTAGTTTTTATACTAAAAAGTATAAATTTATAGTGAGGTGCAATTTTTATAAAAATAATTCTATAGCTTAATAAGGGACTTCTTTATATATTTGATATACAAGCCAAAAATATTGATATATAAAATAACTGGCAAAAAATAGTACTCTTGTATATGAAATTTTAGTAGATAAATAGAGGTACTGTAATAGAAGTTCAAGCTATTTGTCAATAAAGCTATTAGTTGCAAAACAACTAGAAAATAGTAAAAATAGGCTTTTTTTAAGTTGTACTCCTTTTTTCTAGCCAAGTAGTTTCTACTACTCTTTTTTCCACTTCTCTGTCTTTTTTTTAAATTTTTTAACAAAAAGTAGGGATTTGGCTTATCCTCTCTAAAAAATCAGCATTGTTTATTTCCTAAATTTAAAAGAACTAGTAGAATTATAATTATATATTTGTTTATAAACAGATATGATACTACTTCACAGAACTTGGCTAGTAACTCTAATTATAATAGCAGGTGGTTTGAGATACAGGTTCTCAGATAGTGGCAGTATCTGGCTTAAAATATAAATTAAAACAAACAATGAAGCTATTTGAAGTTGGTAGAAAGATCAAAAAGCAAACTCAATATTAATACAAAGCTTTACAAAAAAATATACAAATATTGCATTTGTTATATAATTTTTATCTGCATGTATGAGTTGTAACAATGCTTTTAGGGTCTTAAATTTCTTTTTATATTTTCGTTTTCATAATCTGTATTTTTTTTTCTTTTCTTTGTTTGTTTTTCGTTTGTTTTTCATTTTTTTTTTCTCTTTTGTCTTATACTCTTTAAAAAGAAAAAAGAGTTTGAAAAGAAAAAGAGGTTTTGACATAATAGAAGCTAAGCCTAAGCTAGTGTTATATATGGGACAATTTTAAACAATTTTGAATATTTTTCAAATTAAAATTACTTAAAATTTTATTAAGATAATCTATATTAATTTTTTTATAAATAAATTCAGCATCTAAAAAAATATATAATTATATAATTTTTTAAATTACTTTATTGATTATTTAAACATAAGACATAGGCTTGAACAATTTTGGGCAATTTTGAATATTGAACATTGAATATAGTATGGATGCATTCTATGTACAACACTAGCCTAGGCTAGACTATATCTTTAAATATATTATACTGTGTATAGGTATAGTGGCCAATATCAGTTTAAAAAACAGCTAGATTTTAGTCTAATCTGCCTATTAAATAGTTTGGTT